CTGACAGTTAAACAAAACACAACAGTTAAGTTAAGTGAGGCAGAAATGGAGGATGTGTTAAATAAGGTGAGTTCGCAGCTTCTGTTGTCAGAAATGGAGATAGCGTATGGATTTGGTGTTAGTGTCGGTGTGAACATCCAAAAATACTACTTTTCTTTACCTGTGCCAGTGTATTAATACACTGCAGCGCAAAAGTTAAGTTTGTTGGTGATGATAGTTTGTTTAACAGGGTGTCTATTTATTTATGTATATATATATATATATATATATATATATATATATAGAGAGAGAGAGAGAGATATCTTCTTTTTTTAGATTAATAATACTTGAGAATACTGGGAAGCTGACCTGTTTTCTTCTCTCCCTCTCATGTCCTGTTATTACTGTCTTTCTCCTCATTCTAAAATCATCTGTTGTGTTATGTTTTTCTTCCATGCGTTGCTCATCATTGCCATGTCTTCCCCTCAACCATTTCTTCCCATCCCATTATCTCTTGCTGCCCATCATCACCTCCCCTGTGAAAGCTGAAAGCAATCGACCGTCCGCAGGAGCCAGAGAAAGTACCACGGGCGCCTCACGATCGGAAGAAAGAGTGGCAGAAACTTGCACTGGGCGCAGAGCTTGCCCAGGACATACCGGAAGACAAGCATCGAGAGGCAAACGGATCTGCCGGTTACCAAGACAACAGGTAACTTAGGAAGGGTGGGGGGGGTGTCAGTTTCCACTTCTAGAATTTCCAAAGCAGCAGTCAAATGGTGGGAAAAACCTGAGCATACAGGCACATGGACTCGAATACCTATCTCCTGTAAAACTGAAGCCGGCTTTAAAAATTCAGATCTGATCAGAACTGATTTGTCAGCAGAATGTAATCACACACATTCACAGCGACAAATTGTGCCCGGTTTACGTAAAAGTGGTTCAAGCAGCCACAACAGAAGTGATTAAGGCTCCTTAAAGTAGTGATTTTACTCATTGTGCCACAGAGCTCCCGAGCCTCTCATCACAGTAATGTTCCCTACCAGCCAGAGGAAGTAATATGAGAAGATTTGATGCAAATGAATGGATTTCTCGAGTGCACCAACACCACAAATACCTGACAGGAAATCTTTACAGCACTGATGTGGATAGATTTCATGTAAATAAAAACCAGCGTGTGCCTGATTCAGACAGCTGTGAATAGATTATTCTCATTATTCCATGTTATTGACATACTCCATGACAATATTCAGCGTCTGTGAGGGGCAGACACATATTGGCAGTGAGAGCATCATAATCTCAGCTGCTGAGGCGCATGCACATGAATTCTCATAAGAGAGGCCAAATTGGTTAAAAATGTGGCTCTGAAAAAGAAAATCTTAATCAAAACGGTATGATGCACAGCCATGTCATTCCATCCTGTTGGAGAGATGAGACTCATACAGTGCCAAAGATATATTAACCTTAATTTATATGGTCGATGTATCAATGTATTATTCAATTTAGAAGTGCACCTTTTCTAAATACCTTCAAACTCCACAGCTATGAAACTATGCATACACACAAAAACTGTGACTGTACCTTTTCATGCACGGCAATTGTTTCCCTATAAGGGAAGAATACCTACAAGTATTCTTGGAGCAGTCAAGCATATTACACATAGATAATGAAGAGATGATTATATAATTAGAAAAAAAACAAAAAACTATATATAAATATAGTGTTCAGTGTTCCTTATTATAATAAGCTTGATTTTTGTTTTTAATTATTTGCATTTTTAATAAGCTAATTATGCCACTATGAATAACTGAAGCGGTGCATCACAGTTGTGCCTCAGGAGGGCTGTTCTGACGTGGTTTGAAGATGTTGCCGATAGTCGTATGAAGAGCAGACTCTGCTGTAGCTGTCTTTGTCCGCTGATGGTGCTGTTCTGTCTTGTTGTTTATGATGCTTTTTCACATTTTTAATTGTTTTTAATTGCATTTTTAGATGTGATGAAAACAGTGCTTTTTAGATTTACATTGGTTTGGCAATGATTAACATCTATAGACGAGAACCATACAATCATATACTTTTGCATAAAATTGGCAATATTTCTTGCCAATATTATTTTGAATAACTGAGGATTATTGCCAGTTTAATGGAAAATAATCATTATTCTGTGCATCATTTTTACTTAAAAATAAAAAGTATAAATAAACGTAAAAAATAAATCTAGAAAAGAGAAATATTAGTATCACCTTTATTACACATTTATAGGTTTCCTCTTTCACATTGGTACAAATTTGCTGGAAAACACAACCAATAAATATATACATTTCTCCAGTGACCAGTAAGTCTCACAGATTCTGAAGTGGTACAGATGCAATGGCTTCATTTGACTGTGAAAGAACCAATAATCCTTCCCATCATATGTAAAACACAGGTCAAGAGAGAGTAAACAAGTGTTTGGTGCCATAGCAACGCCTTGTGTGAATTGTGATGTGTGATTAGGGTCCTTATTTCAACCTTTTTTAAGGTATACCAAAAACATGAACTGCAGCCAAAGTCATTCAACAGCAAACGGTGAAACTGTTCCTCTCTGCTCAGGGCTCCCTTATACATGGAGCAAATGGACGGCCCGTTCTCGCTGGCCGCTCTGCCCTACAGCCAGATGAACGAGCTGCTGAACCGCACCGGGGACAGAATGTACTCCCGACCCCACGACCCTCCACCACCTCCACCTCCTATGCACCCACTGGGAGAGATCAAGCCACCTTCTGTAATCAGGTGAGGCCCTACACCTGACCTCCATCTTCATTGCTTATCTGATCATCTTCTCATACCATGTGTGTGAGTTTAGTGTAATCTACACCATATGAACATCTCTATCTTCATTTTTCATCTATTGGCTGCCATATTTCGAAACAAGGGTATTGACTCCACTTATTGTGTTGAATGGGCAGACCGAGGCTGAATGTGGGCTTCTCGTGTGGTGTGGAAGTGTTAAAGATTAACTGTGCTTGATTCACATTCCCGTGTTTTCGTCCTAATTTCAGCTCCAGTTCAGGTTTTTCCGACAGCAGACCTCAGTCTCCAGCCAGGACAGCAGGCTTCAACTCCGGCACTCCTCCCCCGCCGCCGCCTCCACTTCCTCCCCCTCCTCCGCCCTTACCCTCCACCGGCCTGCGGGGCACCCCCCCACCGCCCATTCCTCCGCTACCAGTCCAGCAGCAGCCTCCGGCCATCCCTCCTCCTCCGGCCCCGCTCCAGATCGCCCCGGGGGTGCTCCACCCGGCCCCGCCGCCCATCGCGCCCCCCCTCCATTCCTTATCCCCGGCCCGCCTGCAGCATGGCCTGGACAAGGGCCTGTCTTCAGGCTCGGGGACTCTGTCGGACGGCACCGTCCTGCCTCCTCCTCCGCCGCCACCTCCGCTGCCTCTCCCCGGAGCACGGAGTTCATCGCCCTGTCCATCGGGCCCTCAACCCATGCCAGCCTTCCCCTCGGCAGGAGCCATGGCGTCTCCACCCCCCCACACCATGCACGACGTAGGGACCAAGAGGCACCATCCACCCAACCTGCCACCCATCAGCGATGCCCGCAGTGTGCTGTTAGAGGCCATCAGAAAGGGTAACCTATAATTTACTGCAAAACATGCAAACAAATCTTAAATGATCTACTTATTTTGTCGTTCCTATGTATAACATATTAATGATTTTTGCCATATTTTGCCAGCGCATTCAAGTTACTCTTGAATTATAATATTTTTCACATCCAAATCGCAGGTTTGTTTTTTATATTTTGTTTTGTATATAGAACTCTATTCATTAAACACATAAGGGTAATGGAACACAGATTTTGTGATCTCATTCTCTGCTTCAATTTTAGCCTCATCCAGAAAATTGATAGCCGTGCAATTACAATATCAAACGGCTGAATACAACCGCTTTAGAAGCCTGAACTAAACGGCCTGAATGGCTTCAGTCTAAACGTTTGGCATCAAGTCACACACACATCTCACTCCTGACGTCAAGGTGAAAATAAGAGGGACAGAAAGAACCACAGTGTGTTCATGTTCGTTGTGACAATCAATGTGAGATCTTGCCACTTGTAGCAGGTAAAAGCAACAAATGCAATATCAGTGTCCAAATACTGTATTTTCCCTGCTGCAGGCATCCAGCTGCGAAAGGTGGAGGAGCAGCGAGAGCAAGAGGCCAAACATGAACGGGTTGGGAACGACGTGGCCACCATTCTCTCCCGCCGCATCGCCGTGGAGTACTCGGACTCCGAGGACGAGTCCGAGTTCGACGAGGGGGATTGGATGGAATGATGACGGCGGCTGGGAAAAAAAAGGGAGAGCAGCAGCGGCGGCTGAGGACAGACGCGTTGGTGGTGCCCGTCCCTCCACCAACTCCACGACCCCGCGCTCCAAACGCCGGCGCCAACGAAGAGGAGCGTTGTTGTTGCCTACTATTCCTCAGTCGACCCTCTTTTTCTAGCTCCTTGCTTCTTGTTGAGGCCCGTGCTGGACGGAGAGTCTCCACGTCTCCCTCGTCGGTCTGTTTATGGCGTTCTAAGTTTTTCGTTCTTATGTTTTTTCCTGCACTGCCACACAACTTTTCTTCTTCTGGATGTCTTGAGATGGAATCCCACATTTACTGTTAAACGTGAAATAACTTTTTGAAAAAGCCACTTGATTTTCTTACTTATCTGTTCGTTGATGTTAAAAAGATGCTATAGGGCAGGATGCGTGAGGTCAGGCTGCATTTATCTTTAGTGCTCTTTAGATGCTGTTTTTTCTTTTTTCACCACCTGTTTTTTGTTTTAAAAAAGAGAAACACACATAGTTTTGGCAGGCCAGTAGTTTCCAATGCAGAGCTCAACATTATAAGTTTGAAAACCAGCCGGGATTTATTTTGTCTCCATAGTTACCTGGACTGACGATTTTACTAAGAATGTTTGTGTTGTTCAGTGAAGATTTTTCTACGGCTGAAATGAAGACGGGGGACCACGTATGTACATATCCACCCCCTTACCTTCACCACGGACATTCCATTTTTTCTGTCTTGCCAGGTTCACTGGAGCCACTTCTCTCCATGACGACTTCAGGAAAAAAAGAAACTCACAACTATTGATTTTTAATATACTCGGATTCCATATTTTTTTCCTTTCCAGTTGCCACAGGAATGGACTCTGGGAGGGATTTGAAACTGTAGATGTACATCAGATCTCCTGCCTCTCTCTTTGTTTCTGATGAGTAGTTGGTGTCCGCAGATGAACCTGACCAGCATAAGGTACAAATCATTCAATTCCACTGAAGGCAGCTTTTTCCTCTGATCCCTTATTACTGTGTTCCTGCCCTCTGACAAGAAGCCTCTCCTCGTTTGGTACTGCATCGGTAGCGGAATATTCTGCGTGGTTATTGCCCTTCTGAGGCCTAAAAGAGACAGATGCATTATGCCTTGTTTTGGCTCATTTCAAAGAAAATGTCTGCCATCCGTTTCCATTTTTTTTCTTCTATTTGCCTTATTGTTCGTTCAAAACGTATCGTTGAGTTGATGAATGTATTGTGCTGTTACTACTTACTTGCCTGCGCTTGTATGGATTTGCTGTTTCTATGTTTTTGGGGGGAGGGCACAGGGGAGACACCCTGATTCAAAAAAAGAAGAAAATTAGATCAATACTGTATAACATGTAACTTATGTAACTGTTTACTGTAACAGTTTGCTTGAATTAATAAAAATCTAATGTCATGTTTCAGCTCTAGAAGGTATGGTTTTGTTGTTAAGCTAAGTTTCACAAACACACAAAGAGCCCATTCTGTCACCAATTATTCTTTGGTCATCCATTGCAAACTGGTGTCTTTTAGATATAAATTATATATAATCAACTATAAGGTGCAAAAGTTAAATTATCATCAATATGATGTTCCATCTCATAACAAATGCAGTCAACCATTTAGCTGTTGATTGATCTGATTTGTTCTTGTTTTTTTTTCTTTACTTAACTGTTTCCTCCCAAGTCTGGGCCTCCCATTATAAACCACCAAGTTACAAATAATAGATGTTCTGTTGGAGAAATCTAAAGACTGAAAGCTCACACGTTCTGTCTCACTTTCCACATCCCTTCATCTCCAATTTTTTTTCCTCCTCTCAGTCTCACTTTCGTCGTCTTCTCACCTCTCGTTTTGACACTTTGTTCTGTGTTATCTCACGAAACAAAAGATGCTCCTTGAGTGTTCATGTTTATTATCTTGTCACTCTTGTTATGATCTCATTTTTTGTTCTGTCACTGTTCATCTTTACGCCTGCTGTTTCAAAAACGCTCTGGGCATTGGCGCTTTCATGTCTGGGTGGCTCATGTCAGCTTTGGGACTGCATGGATTAGAACTTCAATACTGTGTGAGAAGCTCTCATCACAGTTTGCAGAGGGCTGGTAGGAGGAGGCTTATTAAAAAGCCTAGAGTATGTGTATCTATGGGGAGGTGATGAAAAAGATTTAATTAGCAGATAAAGTGTTATTTTACTCTGGGATGGTTTCCCACTGTTTCACCTTAGAGGGAATAATAGTCTTGTTTTCTTCCAATCTATTAAACTGGAGGCAACTGAATAAATAATCAACAGCAATCCTTAAGTAGTTCAACCATTCCACAGTGAACACATTTACAGCTCCCAACTTAAGCGTGCTTGTGCGAAATATTCTCCTTACCAGCCCCCATCAAACGGCTGTAAAAGAGAAGCTCGAAAAAACACTCCTACCCCATATGTTATCATTTGGAATCTGCAAACAGCTTCCCCACACAAGCGCTGATTAGTACAGAGCTTTTTATGAGTCATAGAGCAGACATAAAAGGTTCATTTTAGACAGCTGGAACAATGTACTTTAGCACTGTTTATTATCTACTGACAGTAAGTTTTGGTACAAACCGACCTACAATTGAACACAATTGTCTACCAGGACTTTTGAAAGATTGGCTCATAAAAAAAATATGATTACACATTCAGTGTGTATAAATATGCGTCAAACAAAACTGCACCCAATCATTTTAAATGTTTGAAGGCAAAGCCGCTGCAGGTATAATGAGTACATGCGGGTCACTACAAAACCTTTGTATCACACTGTGCAGCTTCCATCTAAGTTTAAAGTGGATGTCGTTGAGGGACTAAATACAGCATTTCATTACCTCTACTTGGCCTGATGTTGGCATTGTAATAACCCACAAATGTAATAATTTTACTAAAGACTTTCAATTCTAGACTTGAGTTGTACTTAAGGTAAACGCAAATGAAAATGATTTCAGATGTCCAATAACTGCACCAAAGAGATATTCACTGTTTAAGGCTGTGAATATGGATTTACTATGGGTCTTCACCTAAAAAAGAATCAACAGTTCTGACCATTAAAGCTGCTCCTTGTAAAAAGATCAAGACCATAAAAGGGGGCCTTTCGCCTCGTTTCTGTCTCCTCCCAAACTCTATCTCCCACTGTCTGCATGACTCATAAAGGGGCCCCTTTTCCTTCCAGTGTCCATCATTTAACTTTGACTTTATTAGTTCTCCTTTGGGGTCGCTCTTTTTGGACCTGGCGGGCCCGGGTTCCAAAAGCAAGAGACTGCAGGGACTCGGTGATGAAGCGCTGCGTGGGGGACACGCACAGCATCACCAGCAGCTTAGCGTCGCCACCTGGTGGGCGAGATCCAGAAGAACGAGAGCAGGTTTAAAGTCAAACATGAGATGCCAAAGATTTAATGTCTTATTACAAACTTTCACAAAGCTGTTTGTGTCATTGATCCTAAAGAGCAGAGCGTTTTTCTCATCTCACCTATAGCATCCTGTAGCAGATGTGTGAGCTTGCTGTTCCTGTAGGGGACGTGAGGTCTCTGTTCAGTCAGAGCTCCCAGGACGTCTGACAGAGCCGAGAGGCTGCGGTTTATACACGACACCTCCCACAAAGCTGCCCCTGACACTCCAGTCATACCTGTCCACACGTTTCGATGGCAGAACATCAGGACATCTGGTCAGTGAATGTCAATAAATTGGGACTGGGTTGAGTTGATTAAAAAAAAAAGATGTAATAACAAATTAATTCCATCTTTAGAATAATCTTACATTTAACGCTACATATAATTATGAAAACTTAAATCTTCATTAGGCAGCTTGTTAAATCCTAAAGAACACCTTGTGATAGCAATTGACATTTTTATGCCAAAAATGTATATGCTTCAGTCTTACTTAGATTTAAATGTTCCCAATTGAATTGACTGCAGAATCATTATGCTTTAAAGCTTAGAAGACTAGTATTTCCCTAAGCTTCTGGTTTAGTATGGGTTCCAGTTCAAACTTTACCCAATATATCTGCTATCATGATCCCATAAGGCCTAAAATTCAAAGAGCGTCCTTCAACAATGCGGTCCTACCAACACATTCACTTCCTGCCAGGTCCACCAGCTGCAGCTTGGTTCTGAACGGAGTCTGTGAGATGCTCTGCCTCGGGGAGGGGCAGGGAGAAAAGCCCGGGGAGCGACATGGAGAGGAGGCGGGGCTTGCGAGCAGCTCGTCGGGTGAGTGGCGGGCGGCCGGGTTGGCCCGGCGGCAACGTGGACTCCACCACTCCTTGTGAATGGACTGCTGCAGGCCCTTTTTGGCAGTCTGTAGTCTGCGGGCTAAACGAAGCGGTGAGGAATGCAGGAAATGTGCCATTGGTGCAAAGTGAATTGAGTCTGGGAGTGTGTCTCACCCAGGGTGACTGCATCGAGGCTCTTGGAGGAAATGGTGAAGGTGACGATGAGGTGAGAGCGTGATGAGTCCCTGTGGATGAGGGTTGGACTGTGAGCCCTCAGCTTCACGACGCTGTTGATAATCTGCATCACCTCAGAGGCATTACACACAGGCCTGTTGAACAAAATCCAATCCATCAACATGTGGCCATTAATATTAATTTTTGTCAATTTGCAGCTATTTTGCCAATCTGTGAAATGGTTAGGAAACAAAAAGTTTTCTTTTGCTACTCTTGTTGTGGAATTTTGACCAAAGCATATCATATACTGTACATTATAGCAACAAAAAAAAAAAAGTGCCCACTTGTGAAATATAAAAAACTTTGTGTTTTTCTGTAAAAATCAAAAGCCATAATATTTTTACATAGCGCACACAGTCTCGCTGGGCTCTAAAAATACTCACTCATACGTGAGGGATGTGACCTGGCTGGCACCAGAGGAGGTGGTGATGACGTCCCGCCGCTGGCCTGCAGCGTTTCCCTGCTCGGCTCTAGCAAGCAGGTCATACACCTCGTTGTTATACACTTCCATCACCGACACCTCCACTGTGTGACTCTCTGGTGGCTTCTCAGAGATAAGCCTGGGTGTCGCAAAATCACGGTCATGTAAAGAAAAGCAGGAAACAAAAAAAACAAAAGAAAATTAAAAAAACAAAACCCAGTCACAGAAAGTTTCACCTCCGGCTTTTCTAAGCATGAATCCACAGTAGTGCTTGTTTATGCAAAGAAATTGTTGTCATTTGACAAGCATTTCTCTCACCGGAAGACCTCAGTTGCAGCCTTTTGGATAATTCCCTGCTGATCTTCTTGTGGCATCCCTGAGTGCTCCTCCAGCAGCTGGGAGCCCATCATGGTATGAGTCTTCCCACTGCCAGTCTGCCCATAGGCCATGATGCACACATTATAACTGCCAAGCACAGAAGGAGAGGACATTCAGTTATTACTAAAGTTATGTCACATCTTTCTCATTTCACGCAATGCAATGAATGCATCTGGATAACATCACACTGATGCGCTCTCCCTTTTACACTCACCCATCCAACAGAGATGTGAGGAGTGCCTTGATTTCCTCAAACACAACATCCTGCGAGTCCTCCGGTCCATGGACTCTGACAGAAACACATCACCAAAGTTCATATCGTGACAATCAGAGCACACACCGCACATTGATGTCAGTTTTTTTTTTTTACTTCACCTCTCAAACTCAAACATCTTCTGTTGCACGGGGCTCCCTGTTCTCAGGCAGTTTACCACCAGCGTGTCCTGCAAAGCAAACGCTCAGAGTGAGAGCGCCACGGACGCCTGCAGACAGCAATAAAGACGTGCGTGCAAAACTCACATCACTGATGGGATGGACCACTTCTTCTGATGATGCAGGCCTGATAAAGACAATGGCCAGAATTTTATTACAAGAATCATTTGATGTGATTTTTGCATTTTCAGTCTGTTTAATGATGCGGAGACATGCTGACAAACCCTGATGCACAGCTGGGGGACTGGACTTGGTCAAAAGGCAGAACAGGACGCACTCTGCAATGAACTCTAATGTTCCCTCTTAGCTCCTGCAGAAATAAAACCAGTTGTGAGACACTCTTAGATTAGCTGAAATTCTCTTTTTCATATTTTTATCCCTGACTGATAAAGAGAGCAGACCCCTCTCCTCACCACTAACCACTAGAGTGTTGTGGAGTTCTTTTCTCCTCTGCCTCTCTGCTGTGCACCTTTCCCGCTCCTCCTCCAGAGAGCGCTCCAAAGCAGCAACTTGAGCCTGCAAATCTGGGGAAAATGTTTCTATCTGGAGGTTTCTGGTGACATTCATCATCCAGCACAACTGCCTGATTTGACACTGTACTGAACATTGGATCAGATCACATCAGAAATATGATGCAGGGCCTTTTACTCAGCGTTAAATCTGCCAAAGGTTCTGCAAGCCTGTGCATGCAACAATCGTCTTTTATTTAGTATTAACACACATGTAAATACATTCAGCCAAACATTTGCATCCATCATTTTAAGGGGGTAAAATGATTAACTGAAATTCTCACTTCTTCTAGAATCTATCAACAATAGGAGATTAATTAAGGAGAAATTCATTTATTCGAAGCAGCGTGTGGTTATAAGTGTTGTGTGCTAAAGCTTTTATGGCTTATATATGTGAAAAAATCGCTTTCTACGAATTGTGTGAGAGGTGCTAACCAGCTGATTAGCTGGATTGTACTGCACAGAGCAGCTTTCAACCTTCACTTATCTGGAAGGGCAGGCTGCGAGAAAGTGAAGGGGAGGGACTGGATGAGAGGATTATGTGGAGTGAGAAACAGGAAGCACGTAGCTTGTAAATCCTTTCAGAATTAAAGATGCACAGAAAGTTGGAAAAAGTAGTTACCTTTTTGAGGCAAGTTCCAGCTGAGCGGCTCTAAAAATGTAAAAACCAAAACCAACATTGGTGTATAATGAGGGGTTGTTTGATCTTTTAAAAGATTTAAAGATTCTTGTTTAACATTAATATATTTTAACCTCTCATTTCGGAGCCATTTTGCATATTTCTGGGGGGCTTTTTAGATAAATACAAGGAGTAAAGTTCTGTGCTTCACTTTGCTAAATGTTGAATGCCTTATTCAGCTGTACTAATGCAGATTTCATATGAATGTGTGTCAACTCTTTAAATTGCTGACCCTACCTGAATCTGCAGTTTCTGAGTGAGTTAATACAGCAGTGAATGGAGACAAATTTTCAATTCTGTACAAAGTTTCCTCAGACATGCAACTTACAGGAGACAAGGAAGGTGCTACATCTTTAACACGTGGTTCCACATGGTTACACTTGCCTTGAAGTTCATTTCCTTGGTGACCATTTAGAGAAGATGTGGCCTGCTCAACCTTCTCCAGCAGCAGCTTGCTCTGCTCTTTTAACTCTGAGGCAAAGCTCACACATACTGCGAACACTTCTCTCAGGTCTTGCTTCACAGCCTGCCAACAATACATACCAGACAAATCTAAAGTGTTGCTGTATTCATATAACCTGCACCTGTATTTTTTCAAACAATTTTCAGACCTGCAGATACTCTAATGGATATACACACTAAGCAGATGCGTACCTGGACCTGAGAATGGAGCTTGAGAAGGGCCGACAGGGAAATCTTCTTATTTGTATGGTGATGAGTCTCAGCCCTGGTGTCCGCATCATGGTCCTGACGCAGCTTCCCTAAACACTAAAAAAGGATTCAACACATTCCTCTTCTGTTCTGTAAGTCCAATTTCTATCATACACTCAGTCACAGTGGGGCCAGTAGTATGGACAGGTTTTTGCCCTAATCAACATTTGATTAAATAAATCTTAGATGAAATAAAATGTCAATACTTCATTAATTAGATCATTTGCCATTTTGTTTGCATGTAAAAATAGAAATGGCAGCAAAGTATGTCTCATGAATATAATTATGGTATAATCTTATACTAAGTAATCCAAATGTTTAAAGGTACATCAACCAAGAAAGTCTGGAGAACTGTTCCTGAAGACAATCTTTAAAGATCAGAGGAAAGTCAAAGTCCTTGAAAGCAATTGAGAAATGATGGGGCGTCTCAAGACTCTGTGTAGTATGTAGGACATACCCATTTATATTCTCCTTGAAATTGAAATAATAATAAAATAATAATAATAATCATCATCATCATCATCATCATCATCATCATCATCATCATCATCATCATCATCATCGTCACATGACGCACTTTCCGGGTAATCCATCAATGAATGTTAGCAAAAGTTAGGAAATAACTTGGTAGGAAATGGTAAGGAAATTGGTAGGAAATAATTAAGTAAAATGGATGGATGGAATATAATCATGTGTGCAAAGAATAGAAGAAATCTCCTTACCTCAGCAAGTTTTAAATGAAGAATAGCGTTCTCTGTCTCCAGCTCAAGTATTCGTTCCTCTTTTCTCTGAAAGACATTGAAATGTGTCCAGAAAAGTATCAAAATCCAAATACAGATGGAGCTTTAAGTCAGTTCAATTCCCACCTGCAACTGATAAATCTTAGCATCCCCAGCCCATCACAATCACTTACCCTCAATTTGTGCTCTAACAGATGCACCTGGTGTGCAAATATTTGGTCACGGTTTATAAAAAGTGGCATTTTGTCCTACAAGCACAGAGTGCAGATTGTCTGGTCCCTTTCCTGCCCTCCTGAGCAAGTTGTGTCCTCTTAGGTCAAATAATCCGATTAGGAAGGACCAACAACATCCCCTCAGCCCTGCTTACCAGTCAGCAGACAAAGACTGTGTTCTCTCGTGTTGTAAGAGGTTTTTTTGTGTGTGTGTATGTTTTTTAAATATATATCTAAAATATCAACAATTCAACGGTTACCCAAATATTAAGGGTTGACCCCAAATTCGGACACAGGTCATGTTAATCTGTGCTCACATTTCGCCTGCAGAGGGCGCAAAGGTTCCTGGTGAGAGTTCAAACAGCGCAGTGACAAAACCAACGAAGAAGACAAACGTTTCCGCATTGTCAGACCTTCCTGCAGCTACCTGTCTTATAATAATTTTCTTCACAAAATGACTAAATTAAAAGACAAGAAGCGAGAGAAAATCAGTATCGCCACAGAGGTGCAGTATTTTCAGATTTGACGTTAAGTTTGCTTGCTGGTGGATGTTTAGTTGACGTTCGTTTGGCGCTTTGCATGTATTCCCTGTGCTGCCACCTTCCTGTCAGGGCTATGCTCAGTCCTATTCAGGACGCACTAACCTGACTTCATGTCTCACCTGTCATTACCGCAGATTGACCGTTTGGAGGAGAAAAGGGCGCGTTGCCACGACAACCTGGAGAGGGCGGAGTTTAAGAGCAGGAAAGAGAGGCTGTCTGAGAAAGAGAGGTGAGGATGGAGCACATAAAATGACCTGTTTTTATTTATTACCATTCACGAATCATAAAGAAATGTATACCTCAATGCAAAAACGGCCCAAGAGAAATTAAACTGTGACTGGAAGGCAGGATGCCAGTGAGAGAAATCACAAATAACAGTGGTGTTTATCTATTTCTCCCTCTCTACTTCCAAAGACAAGAACTAGAGGATGAAATGGCAATCATGAACGAGAGAGTGCAAAAGCTGGGTAAGTGTGTACCGTCTCAATCACATTTCTCTACAGTAGTGTTTTTGAAATACATTTTACTTGTTATTTTTCTCAACTACGTTTTTATTGTTGTTTAATGTTTTCGTATTCTACACATAGTAGAAAATACAGGAAGGTACATATACTGAATTTCCTATAAAGATGAAGAGGGATTCTCCTGTGGTTTCTTCACATTGTTTCGGAGAAATGTATGGCTTATTTATCACCCCCCTTTCACCAGTTTTGTGTTTTTGTATCTAGACATGGAGCTGGAGTCACTGAGAGGTGAAAACAGGAGGAACATGCTGCTGTCAGTCGCCCTTCTGACTGTCAGTGCTCTCTTCTACTATATGTTTTTTTACAATGAGGATGACGCATGACATCCCCCAGAAACTCAAGGGAAACTATGAGTCTTAACAAGCTCGGGACTGTGTTGGCACTAGATGATTAGAAAAGATTTTTTTATTGTACACATGGTGCTTGCCTCATTTACCCATTTTGTGCCTCCTCTTCTCATTTCTCTGACGTTATAATGTCTGTGAGTCAGGAATCAATCTCATCCCCTAAAATTTGACAACGGGGACAATTAAGCATGGATACCCAGGTGTATCTTTCATGTCTTTTTGTGCATATCTGAGAGAAGGCTGACACTCAAAGCTCACATTGTAACCTCAACATAATTACAGCTTTAACAGAAATAATTGCATGCTACCTCCGCTTTCTTGGTGTCTTATCATGCCTCGTCTGGTCACATTTCTGCCCGGAGGGACAAAGATGCGAGGAGAAAGGTCAGACAAAAGGAAAAGAGTAAAAGATGTGCAAAGTGGGAACTGTAATAAGGGGAAGGAATGAAACAAAAAGAGTTGTGTTAATGAAAAGTATAGCTTCTGCCTCCAGAGGGTATCGTTGCCATTTCATATCTCTTCAGGTCATAAGGGGTTCACCCTGTGCTGTGAAAGCCAAACTCACCTTCATTAACCACGTATATGGTTTGCAAACTACACCTAAAGCTTAATGATTGTCTCGGTTATCAAAATATACAAATGTTAAGTGTTTTTTTTTTTACAAAGGAGAACTCCATGAACTGTGGCTGTCTTTTCAGCTACGATGCATGGAGCCCTTCTATGACACATTTGATTGTCTTTATACAATATGAATAATGAAATGTATGTAATGAATTCCAAATAACTTAAAAGATTGATTTGTTTATTGTGTTTATGCTTTATGCTAATTATCTTCGTGCCTTACAAGAGCTTGGGAACACGTGCCATAATCATGCTCATAATGTCTTGTTTACAACAAACATGAGAAGTTTTGTTTGATGTTTTGTTTCTGGAGGATCTGTCCTGCAGATTTATTGAGAAGCATTTAAAGGCACATTGTAGACTGTAAACCACTGAAATCTAAGCATACTGGCTAAGTACAGAAAGATACTAGCCCTCGATTGGGAGGGGAAGAAATTACCCAGGGACCTGTCCATATGGCTGTGCCTACAATCTACTGGTGCATGTCAATCAGCTAAGTAAGTTGATGCTAACAACCCAAAGCACCCCAAATAAAGATTGAACTGTTGCCACCCATACCAAAAAAAACATATTGAGTAACCATGTAACAGAAGAATAAAGCACCAGATGGCCAAAGTGTTTATATTGTCTTGGGGGACTGTGGAGGAAAGCTATGGCATTCTTCTTCCACTCGAGAGTTATTTGTAGGGTTTGTTTTTTTTTGTCATTTTTATGATAATTATGAGATTGAAAGATATGGTAATATGACTGTTTAATCAGAGTAAAGTGTGATTTTTTTTTTTGCTTTGGGGGATCTTTCTCTGTGTTGGGAATTGTTTGTGTAGCCATCCTCCTACACACTATCATCACTGACACAGACCTTGTCACGCCTCCACATGCTCGTTCTCTCATCCCCAGATAAAACGCATGAAAACAAGCTCATTACGCAATACTTCTGTGGGATTATTGTTATTTGCCCCTAGTAAGTTTGAAAATGCAGTATTGTGTTGTGCTTGATAGGCTTGTATATTCAAATGTAAGTATTTATGATCAATCTAATAAAACAAATACACTGCACAAACGATAGCACGTGTAATACACAAAATGCCCCCAGTCAGCTGCTGTAAAAACAGACTTTTTTAGATATTCACAGGCATGGGCACGGCTCCTTCAAAGTCTGATTCTGACCTCATGTTCACCTTCCTATTTCACATTGCAGCGTGTTTGGTAGCCCCGAGTTAGTCAGGGCCATAACTCGGTACATGTGATTTAAAAAAGTTCTGACTGAGCACCAAAATGCCACGTGTCACTTTGGATTTTCTGTCTCTAGAGCAGAGGCAGATTTGCACACTCTCAATGCAGTGGGGGACCAGTGTCCACTGTTAGGTCAGATGTCATTATGTAAGATCAATTCACTTGAGTCACGTGACATAATCAGGGTTTATGTCAGGTTTGGTTGAACTTCTTTGGATTTCTCCAGCAAATAAAATGCATGCCTTCTTGTCTATCGTATCCAGTGGCTATGCATTATGATTATTTCTATCCTTGTAATGACTGGCCACTACTCTATAAATTTCTTAGATATTTTCATTTTAACGTTAGAGTACTTAAAAAGAGAAAAAGTACTTAATTCTATAATTGTGATGATAATGACAAAGGTGTGATTTTTTTTAAAAGCTTCATAATCTTGTAGTTTATGAAGTTAGAACTGATTTTAGAGGCTAAATTCTTTTACAACTGAGGATTATGTTGTAGTTGGTGCCAACCCGTGCAAATGTTTCTCAGACACAAGGCCAACGTGTGGTGACCAGCACGAGTCAAATGTGCTCGTCACTGCACGTTCAGAGTCTAAACACAGAAGCACCAGAGAGAAGGTCATTTTGAGGTTTTGTGAACCTTTCTCACAAAGTAGGCCTGCTAAATTTTAGGAATAAACCTCAACCATGTAATTCGCTTCAGAGACTTCATAGTGGTTACACCATCCATACCATGACCAGCGTGGAATTTTGAATAAACACCCCCTCAGTATCATCATCAAATATGTTGCATGTCAGGAAATACATGCAGGTTTAAGCAGTTTAAGGGGGAGTACATCATCTGGCTTGATGTATACATCTAATCAGATGTGATTTACTCATACATTCCTGCTGTTGTACTGTAAGCATTAAACAAGATGAAGCTTTAAGAGAAACAAGTAGGCAAATGCAAATTGGAAGCTGTAAAAAGAGCTAATAAAGAATTTCTGTCATCGTGCCCATATGATTATCTAAAGTCATATTTCTAAGCGATTCAGTCTGGTCATGGCTGAATATCCCCATCACCCTAAATTTTGGCATTAGTCATCATCGCTGTAGTTAAAGAGGTGACACATCTCTGAGCAGTTCTATTGAAAAGAAGATGAAATTTATTTATGGCTGGGGAAAAGATTAACTTTTTATAGGATCATGATACGAAGGTTACCCTACTTTGTACCGCCCTGACCTTAGGGTTCACCAAGCACGAGGAAAAGAAGATGAATGTCAGACGAGGGAAACTGATAGCAGGTAATGAGGCTGAAGGAAAGGTGTGAGCAATCCAGACTCACCAGACTACAGTCACATTAAAAAGCAACACTTTCAGCTTTTGTATTTTGGTTGATCCTTTTAACTGTCTTATTTTCTTACAGGTCAAATTGACCTGTTTCACACGGGAATACATTGAAGACATTTCTGTCAGCGTAACGCTCTCTCTGCTCATTTGAGGAAATATGAGGAACTCATCCTGAGAATGGCAGCTTTACGTCACTGAGCAGCATAACTGAGATAAAGTTTTGGTCGTTTTGACCTCGCTGTGGAAATGGACTTTAAATTGATGTTCAGCTGTAGCATGAATGTGGTGCTTGATTTAAGGCACATTCTTTTTCCAAAATTCCTGTTTTATATCAGTGATAAAACAAATTGAGAAATGCACCACTGATGACGCCCTCGTGCTCTCCCTCCTTTTAATCTATAGACCAGACCAGACACATTATTAGATATGAGCAAAGCTGGAGTAGCTGGAGATTTGGAACTTTTGGTAGTACGCTTTTAATAGTTTTTATTAGTCCATGTGGCAGAAACTGCAGTCGAAATCAGTGAAGAGGATACCTTTTCAGATAAGTTAAATACAGCCCTTCTAAACATATGTTTTACGCCATCCTTATAAACCACTTTATCAAACAAAGCTTCTTATGAAATACAGAGAATTGCACAGATACCAAAGTTGAGGGTTAACTTCTTTTATTTTTTCCGATCTGATGGGTGAATAGCAAACAGAGAAAAAGTTCTGTCCTCATTCAACACCACCAATCCCAATAACCCCTAGAAAGCCACCTGATTTCTTTTTTTACGAAGTGCAATCTGCTGAGAGACACAAAGCCAATCAACGGCTCTGAGCTAACAGAGTGTCACTTCATACAATCCCTCTCCTCAACAGCGAGAATAATCACAATCAGGAAAAGGGGAATCCATGTCAATGGGTTCTAGATGAACTATTCAAACAGGCATTATGCATCCATCTTTATCAGATTGTTCAGCTTGAGTCACTGGCTCTGATGCATCTGCCTCAACAGATGGCAGCAAAGCTGGCTGCGCTCTCCACCAAAGGCTTGCTGAAAATATTCAACATCTTCCTGCAAACTGTGTTTGACCTTCCTGAAGATATTTGGTCAACGCTCCCAAGCAGTTGTGGAGGCATCCATTTCTGTCTCCCACAGGTCCTGGGGAGTGCAGAGCAGGTTTAATTGTATTGAATGGAAAGTATTAAAAACCTGACTTCCCCCCCTCTGAATAATTTATGCTTCATTGAACATGATAGGTACAGCTCCAACAGATTAGTTAACTGCTGCCCAAAACATAGAAAAGACAAAAACTCGTACAGCACTGTTTTGAAACATTTGTCTTTTATAAGATGAATGTATAGATCGGTATAGATAATAACTGTACGGACCTAAAATAAATCTATCCAGGCTGTTGTGTACAGCTGGCCCTGAGCTGAGTTGGTAATGCAGTAGCTAACCTGGCCTTAGTGATTGTAATGTTCATTAAAATGCTGTGTACTATATATTCAATTCTGTCATTATAACAAAAATGCGACTTTTTCAAATTTCAATAGATATTACTTTGATTATTTGGATATAAAATATAGGCATAACTAAGTCAACAGCATACCTGTACCCAAAGCATTATTGGTTTTCATGTGTTATTACACTTCTAAAGTAAACAGAGTTTGGTACCAAGAGTACAAACCTTAAATAGCACAAGTGTTTACAATAATAATTAAGCCCATTGTACCTTGAAAATCTCCCTAAGTCACAGTGACCACGTCACACACTGTTTTTCCAAGAAAGCAGAGGGTGAGGACTGAGGTTTATGACTGCTCCCCGTCTCAGTCTTTGCCGTACTCTCTCACACTCAACTAAACACACTCACATATATTCACACACCTTCTTGTGCTCTGCGCACACATTACAGACAGCATACAGGCAGCACATGCACACCCACCCTCAGTCTGGTAACCCACCCATGACAAACCTCGATAGGTGCCAGGCTGCAAACAAGCAGACTCATAAGATGCAGCACCAACAAGTGCCTACACACGCACACACAAGCGCGGACCTGCACACACAAACACATGCAAATAGGAGATCAACTCACACACACACATATAAGCCCCAACCAGATATGTGGAATAAGCTTTATGGTCAAATATTTAGGGATTTTTTGTGTGTGTTACTCCTGTGGCAAGAACTTCAGTTTCCACCTGTGGCAAAAACTTCAGTTTCCAGAGACAAACCATAGTGAATTGTCACTTTTATGGAAACAAAAGACCAAGATATCCATCTTTTGCTGACACTTTTAACATAGTAAATGCTAATGAGAGAAAAATGTTGCAGTGACTGGGAGAGCCAGTTAACAAGAGATACATTTTAGCCACGTGCAGTTGTGTCATGGAAACACAACTATTTGTGTGTGTGTGTGGGGGGGGGGGGGGTTGGGGGTCGCACGTGTGTTAATCACAGCCCTGTAATGATTCTTGTAGCATCACCTTCATATGAATATCAAATCAAAGCCCAGCAGCGGGGTCAAAACCAGCTGCTTGTATGATTACAAAATCAATGGTACCAGTAGCTTTTCCATCAAACTAATGACCAACTCAGTAATAGTAATGTCCCCCGTGGAAAGCATTTAGTACACCATTGTAATTAATGTTATTAATGAGGGAATCATTCAACTGTGTACTTTAGTTATTGCCCAGAGAACCATGCAGGACTGCACTGATCAGGCATTACATAATTCAAACAGTACAACTCCTCTCTTTTTGCATTAATGTTTAAGTGGAGGATTACAGCTGGATTTCAGTGTTACTGACATTAACCACTGCAACTGTTAAGAAACTGTCTCTATGAGGTGATGAAACAGACAATTGTGGTTGTTTTTTGTAATTTTTACTGACCAAAATTGGTAAGATATGTAATGTAAAATACAAAACACATATTGGGAACAAAATGAAAGACTAGCACAGCTTGATGTCACACATTTCCAGGAAGTGCTGTTGTGCAAACCGAAAAATAGAAAGAACCACCTCTGGGTCCGATAATTGGCAACTAGAGTTTCAACTACCAGAGGTATCTTCAGTGTCCAAAAAGATTTTTGTGAACAAAGAAATGTTTCAGAAATCCTGTTTTTGCTAAGCTTCCAGCTTGCCAAGTCCTGCTGCTGCTTATCCGGGCCTTCTCAAGCTTCAGTCTGCAGTCATCTGGGTGCCTG